AGCTATATATACTATTTTAAGGAGTTTGATTTTCGAAATAACACTCATGCTTGTTATTTTGCAAAAATATGGTATTATTATTGTTGTGTTTCTCCTCTTTTCTTTTTTTTTTTTTTTGGTTCATTTCTTATTTTATTTTATTTTATTTTTTTATTTATTTATTTTTTTTTTTTTGCTTGCTTCATTGTGAGTCTACCTTTGTTCGATATACATTCTCTCTTTTTTTTTTTTTTTTGTTATCGTTGTCGTTGTCGTGTCTTGTTCTCTGTTTTGTCAGAGAGTTTCATCCTCCTCTCTTTTTTTTTTTTTTTTTAAGTGGGATCTGTTTCTCTGTTTTTTTTTTTTTTTTTAAAACCACTCTTGTGAATGGAGTTGTTGTAGGTGTCATTTTCTTGTTTGAGTTGTTCTTCGCCTTTATTCTTCTCTTTTTTTTTTTTTTTTTTTTTTACATTCCTTTTTTGTAGTTTTTTTTTTTTTTTTTACTTATTTTGAGTTTGGTGTCATGATGTTTCTAGAGTGGGTGTCTGTTGAAGTAACACCATTGTTCCGGGTGGCCAATTCTTCTGCATGTTAGATATGCATGCACCTGATAACAGTTTGACTCATTTAGACAATTGCGGCGATTCCAATTTATACAAATTTGTCTCTCATCGTGCTATGTGATGTCATGTCTTGAGCTTTTGGGCTGTTTGGGGGATGGAGCCTTTTGGTGATAGTAATATCGAAGTTGTCACCTTTGGCTTCAATGTTGCGATCCAGAAAGGTTGTGTCGCGGTTTGTGGTAAGGAGAATCTGATGATCTTCGTCGTAGTTAAGTATAGCTGCAAATTCATGCCTGATATAAAGGATGCTTATATGGGCACTTTGCAGTAGAAAGGGCGGAAACTACCCCAAAAATGAAAAATGAGTTTTTATTAGATTTGGGTATATTTCGACGTGGTCAACATTTTTCTATTATAAATGAAGGTCGACTTGCATAATAAAAGGTCGAGATAATGTAGAATAAAAATTGCAAGGGGCTTCCTAAAGCCAAGTGCATCACGAGAATACCCCTTAATCACATGTTGTTTTTAACCAATCAAAATCATGAAATTTTGGTTAACCCGGATCAGTCCGAAAATCAAAACAAAACGATTAAACTCAATTATACTCAATTATATATATTTGAGTATCCGCCCTTTCTATTGCAAAGCGCCCATATGGTCATGATAAGTGTTTAACTTGTATTCCCTTAGATCATAAATCACAAGGACGGCTTTCATATACGATTTGAATACTAATAACCATTGTGCGATATTATTAAAATTTGGGGAACGGTTGCGCTTATGCAGGATGATAGTGTTGCCTTTAGTGGTTAGGAGAGTGTGATTGTCATCATTGTTTTTAAGGTATGCTTTTAGGTTTTTATATAAAAACTCGTATAAGTCGACATAAAAACCCATAGCTACTACCTTCCACAGACGGTTAGGGAGACTTGGTTTGTTGGGGATAGTTTCAATAATTTTTTGTCCTTCAGACCAGTTGAGGACCCACCACAGTCTTATTTGTTCAATTTTGGCAACCATTTGGCTAGAAAAGCCTTGGATGGGAGGGAGATGTGCTTGATCATATTCAATAGAGGAGTATGCCCGCATTGTTGTTTTTGTTTTTAAGGTGCTGTTTAGTTGAGGTAGACAGCTAGAAGGGATGCTTGCTTTGTCGTGTGTGCTGGTAGCGCTAGTGCTTAGAATTAAGTTGTTCATGAGTGGGGTTAGTGGACAGTTACCTTGATAATTGGTGTCAACTTCTTTTTGTTTTTCTTTTTGGTGCTTGTTAGATGAAACAAATTCATGGTTGTGTATTGAACTACTTTGCTCCTCATGTCCTGAACTGCCAAGTTCTTGAGGCTGGCTTGTTAAAATAGGTAAAGTGCTTGAGATTTGTTGCTAGGTGGAATTTGTCATGATACGATCGTTTAGCTTATTAATCATCTCTAATTGTACCACTATTGTTTGATCTATATACGACTTAATTGTGCAGATGATTGAGTTTGCCAATGCATAGCATGCAGCATTGATGTACGCCTTTGTATTCACATCGATGTTGGGATAGATGATGCTGGAGCTTGTGTTGCCGGTTGACGTGCTGCCCTGATTTGCCAGGGCCGTGGGTGCAGTCTTGTCAGGTGAAGCCTGGTTCTGTTGGGTATCTATTGGTCTGTAATGCTATACTTCTGTTGTTTGTTTGTTACTTCTTATCCTGTTATACGTTATTTTTGTTTTCTCTTTTTTTTTTTTTTTTTTTTTTTGTTACTATGCTGTTGTAGTTGTTTTTTTTTTTTTTTTTAAACTGAAACCTCTGTTAGCTTTGCAGACAGAGTTGGTTAGATCAGCATCGATCGTTTATATAGGAAAAATTGGGTGGCTTGTGAATGTAATATAATGGGCCTTCATGGCTTGGTGTCTTGTGAGTTATCCAGGTTGGATGATCAACATGATTAGTGAGGTAACTTGACGCTTCAACTAATTTTTCGAATTGTTAACTGCAGTCAACATCTATCTCTTGTAGATTTATTAGTCTAGTATGGCAAGTTGCTTGTAAGTACTTATAGAAGTAATTGCAGAATATCAGGCCTAAATGTTAAGCTTAAAGTATCTTATACAACCTATGATAAGACAATCTTAATAAAGGATCACTAGTAAGACTGCCAAAGTTAAAAAAAATATAAATTATTAAAATATTAGTCTATTATATATTAAATCGTTTATTTGTTAAGATTACTACTAATACTTTTCTTAGATTATTATCTTTTTTAAATTTATATGAAGATGATATAAATCGTTCTAATATTCTTTATATGGATATTATACAATCTTTTGATTCTTCATAAAGTTTTTTTACAAAATTTCTATATCACATCTACTATCATCTTTTAATGATAAGTAAAAACAGTGTGTGTTATTTGGTCGATACCATTAAATATATAGACGCTTTGCAATAAAAAGAGCAGATACTTAAATATATATAATTAAATATAATTGAGTTTAATCTTTTTGTTTTGATTTTCAGACTAATCTGGGTTAATCAAAATTTCATGATTTTGATTGATTCAAAACAACATGTGATTAAGTGGTATTTTCATGATGCACTTGGCTTTAGAAAGCCTTATACAATTTTTATTTTATATTATTTCAACTTTTTATTATGCAAGTCGACCTTTATTTATAATAGAAAAATATTAATCATATCGAAATATACCCAAATCTAATAAAAAATCATTTTTCATTTTTGGAATAGTTTCTGCCCTTTTTACTGCAAAGCATCTATATGCTAAATGGTATATATTATTTTCAAATTTATATTGAAAAAAGAATTGTATTTTCCCAGATATATATATACGATATTGTCTCTATAAGCTATGAACTTCACTCTAATATATGAGTGATTTTCATATCTAGAGGCAATCTTTGATCTATATATTTCTGTACTAATTTTTAATCTTCTAAACTGAGTAATAGCTCATTCTATTAATATTGGCTTAGTTATATAAAGATCACCATAAAGCTCTTCAAATAGTGTAGAATAATAATTTTTTAAATTTTGATAAAATTCATTGGGAGTATATACATTCTCATTTATCTTTACAATCATTCCTACCCAAATATTTTTCTGTATCTGTGATTACATTAACATTATTAATTTTATCTCCATCTTCAGATAATTTATCAAATCCTTATACTTAAAGCTTTCAGTTATTTTTAAGCTTCTATATACTTTTTTATCTAAAAAAGAAAGAGCTTGATCTAATAATAATTTAGTCTCACTCATATTAACAGAATTTATTCTAAATTCTACTTGTGCATTTTTCATTAGAATGCATATAAGTTCAGGTTCAATAGACTGATTACTTGTTGGGTAGATTCCTAATAGACTATTCATCTGCTCAAAAAAATAGCACCAATAAGCATATAGTGGATCATAATCTAGACAACATTGTTTTATATAAAGAGATAAGTGAATATTTGATAATATTATATATTAACTATAATATTCTTCAATTAACTTTGCTATTTTTATTAGCCTAGTATATACTTCGTCTAAATTACTTTGCTTGACTATTCAGTTTATTAATAAATTATATACACAAACAAAATTAAAAATTATTTCTTTATCTTCAAGCTCTAGTATATCTCATATATATGAAATAGTATATACTTAATAAAATATCTTCTACTAATCTGCTATAAATTAATTAAATCTTTCTAATTTGCATGCAACTTTTAATAAAATACAATTGATTTTTGAAAGAATCTTTATATTTAATATATGCTTTTTGATTATTATAAATTGGTCTTTACTAAGTTTATTATTATCTAATAAATATTGTTTTATTATTCACTTGCTAATATCTAAGAATAGGCAATGCATTGGATTAACTACTATAAATTTAACTGGATCAAAATATTTCAGCCAATATAGTTCTAACTATCTTATTCTAGTTCTTTTTATATGATTATCTTGTTTTTTTTTATTTTTACAAGATAACTATTTATTCACTGCTTTAAAATTTTGTGATATATCTATAGGATTAAACTATTCATCTATATTTTTAAAACTACCATAATGATTTCTTTTGATTTTATAGTTATATCTTATATGCTTTGAGCAATGATAACATTTTATTACATAACTTGTATAACTATAAATTTTCTTGCAACAGGAATATCATTAGCCGATAATATTAATACTATATAAATCCTTTATCCTTCTTTATATTCAAAAGTTGCTAGTAGTTGTATATCTAAGGATAGTTCAATTAACTCATTAACAATTGGTACTAGATAATTGTTTATTTGATGCTTACTTGATGCTTACTAGGTTCATTTAGTTCTAGAATAATACTCAAAGTTAAAATATTGTTTAGCTTAAATTATGCTTCACATGATAAATTATATAAAACTCTATAAATTACTCCAGTACTATGAACTGTATAATTAAATAGTTGAAACCAATCAATATTAATACCATATTTTTGCAAAATAACAAGCATGAGTGTTATTTCGAAAATCAAACTCCTTAAAATAGTATATATAGCT